TGAAGTGCACTTATGAGTTGTAGTCACGATATGTCCTTGAGTTAAACTCTTTCTAAAGGGCGAATGTTCCAGAACCAGATGAGGGGTTGCTGACAGACTGAAAAAATGTCTTTCAAAGACTCGGCGTCTGCAGCAACTTTGACAGAAAGGCAGCCATCTTTCCCCACATCTCCTGCTAGAACTCTCCACTGACTCTCTCAGTCCCAACTTCACAGACAATGCTTAGGAGGACCTCTAAGTGGCCACTTACAGTCTTAGCACACACCAAAGGTGACTTGGAAAGAGAACGAGGTAAAGAGGGGAAGAGGAGAGGGAAGACCAGAAGGAGGGGGGAAAAAAAGGAAGAGGTAGTCAGAAGAGTAAGGGAGGTAAAAGACCCAAGATCCTGGCTTTCCCTGGAGCTAGGTGGTACCAGCCTGAGCCACCCTCCCCTGAGGGGATGGGAGCTTTTCTCCAATGAGGTCAGGCCAAGTCCCTGCTCTCCGATTTAAATGCCTTGCTCACTATCAAGCTTTTCAAATGCTTTACATCTGGGCTGCATTACCAAAGAGGCCCCTGTGTTTGCGGAAGATAATTTACAGGAGCAGATAACAACCCCAGGGCCTGGAGGAGACCCCCCCCCCCTGCAGCCTGGGGGCGTTTGGACTCACAGGAAAATAGAGGATGGGTTAAATGAATTACGGGGCATAAATAAGTTATGGGGAGTCCATACACACATGTGTCACACACATATTTAGCAAAAATCACTGAGATTTTATAACTGAAACAAAGATTTAATCCTGGAGCTCACAAAGGGAGAACCAAGTGCCTTCACCTTAAATGTTTTCTTTCCTCCATGCAGAATCCGCATGTGTTTCTGAGCTGCTCCCTGCATCCTGGGGGGTACCGACCAGGAGAAAGTCTTCCCTCCGCGAATCCGTAGGACCCCAGTGGTTAAACTCAGGAATCACAGACACAAAACATGTCAAATATGTAGCCTAGTGCCTGCCACAGGGTTAATGTGACATTTCAACAGAGACGAAACTCCTTGAGAGCAAAACTGTATGGTATTTTTCATTTTCGCAAATGCTACAATTAAAAAAAAAAAGATATTTTCTTATATTTGCATAACACCCTGCAAAGTCATTTTGTAGCCCTTGATCTCTTTTTAATTCACAACCAACTTGGGGAAGATCACATTCGTCACCTCCAGTGCTCTGTTTCGGAATCTGTGCCAAGGAATATGGAGGATTTGGGGGTTTGGTGAGTAGTTTAGAAAATGCCCTACGATGATGCAGGTATGTACCCCCTCTCCCTCTGGGGAAGCTCTGAAATGCAATGTACTTTTCCATCTTATCTCTTTCATTAAAGTGATCCATTGTTCACTGTAAAAATGCCGTTACGTACTGGGCCCATCTCCAGTGCCGGCATTTGGACGTTTCTAATTGTCAGCCATGAAAATAACAGTGATGCACGTCCAAATAATGCGTTAGCTCTGTGGAGAATCCTTTCTCCTCATGCGCTAACTACTCAGCAAGTGCACACCTCAGGGTCCACAAGCAAACGACTCCACCCACGTTCCAGGGATGCAGCAATATTTGCTGATGGGAAAGGCAGTGACTCCAGTATCAAAAAAAGACCGTATTTTTAGAGATTTCTACGGTGACCCAATGTCCAAACAGAATCAAATTCTATCTTTGGTTTATTCTTCAAGGACTCCAAGTGTAGTCCCCCCAGCAACCTGGAGGGTTGTTGGTGGTGTCTGTTAGGATGTAAACATCCCCAGCAGTTCTGTTTTCTCAAAAGAGGAGGCTACAGGCTCTCTGAGAGGCAACTGACTTCACTGGAGTGGCTAAAATCCCATTTGTGAGCCCTCCGAGGAACAATGTTCCACTCAGTGACCTCGGGCAGTTCACTTAATTCCGTGGCGTGTGCTTCTGCTTTATCATTTCTTTAATTAAATCTGAGTAACAACAAGTCTTTAATTGGAATAATCACGAAGACTATTATGATCTCACTACAGTGTTGGGAGGAAGAATTAAGGGAATAATTAAAAACTTGATAAGGGTTTTGAAACACGCCAGTAGTTAAGGGAAAGTAATGCCAAGTGACTATGGGAGATAAGTGCTGAAACTCACAAACAAGCGGCAGGCTACCCCGGAATCCCAGGAACCTACTCTGAAGAGACAGGGCTGCCTTATGGAGGGAAGACCGAGTTTTCTCCCCTGCCATCTTGAGACCAAAAATAGATCAGATATTAGCGGTCAAAGAACTAGCACACAAATCTGGTTACTAAGTAAATGGAACTTACTAAACTCTCCGAAGACAATGCTTCCACTGAGTAGTTAGGCGACATAAACACCACACGTGTGCACACAGATGAAAGTGCAAGGAGTTATCTGCAGCCTAAATTTGAATAAAATCATTGGAAACAGCCTAAATGCTTAAGAGGAGGCGGGATAGCTGAATTATGAAAGTGCAAAGAAATACAGTAGATTTTTATATGCCCAAGGAAAGACTTCCAGGTTTAAGGAAAAAAAGTAAAGTCACCAAACAACTTACCAGCCTTATTTTCTCTAAGAA